TGTTACTTCAAAGATGGAAATGCAGGCAGGAAATTTTGAATAAATTGTTCTGTTACATTTGGGAACCATATGGAAAAATGTTAAAGTTGATTTTTGCATTAAACGAATCAGATGGACAGTAGACTTAATTGTGAAAGCAAAACAGTAAGCTTTTAGAAGAAAATATAAAAATGCTAGTGACCAGGTGCATGAAATTCATGCACATTGGGGGGAAATTGGTTGGAGGAATATTTTGATATTGCTCTTTGCCCTCTCTTCCTTAATGGAAGTGTCAGAGATGAAGGAAGGTTGGTGGAATGTGTGTGGAGGTCTTCCTCCGTCAGAGTCTGGGACGCACAATGGGAACCAGAGTCAAGTTTCTGTCCACCCACATGTGCCTCGAATTCACACGAGACCCAGACCTGGCCAGCCCCACTTCCATTGGGCTAGATCCAGACCTGGCTGACCCAAACCCTGTCAAGCCCTGCCTGGTAGGGGGCATGTCTTTAGGTCGCCTGGCTGGGTGTAAGACCAGGGGATGCACCTTGAGGTCCCCTTGCTTGGGGCAGGGGGCACAGCATCAGTGCCCCCATCAAACCCCGACAGGAAGGGGGCGCAGCCTCAGTAACCTAGCCCAGGGTGGGGTGTATAGCCTGAGGTCCTCCGGCCCGGACTGGGACAGGAGGCACACCTTGAGATCCCCTTCAAGCTACACCTGGTGCGAGGCATGACCGGAGGTCCTCCGTCAAGCCCCGCATGGCGGGGGCACGTCTTCAGGTCCCTGGCCTGGAACTGGGGCAGGGATTTCAGCCTCAGGTCCTCCGGCCATGCAACAGGGGGGGAGTCACTGCCTGAGGGCCCCTGTCCCAGCACCATGGCAGGGGTGCAGCCTGAGTTCCCCCGCAAGCCCTGCTGGGCAGGAGGCATGGCATGAGGTCTCCCATCATGCCCTGCTGGGCAGGGAACACAGCCGCAGGTCCCCTGGTGTGGCCCAGTGCCAAAAAGCCTCAGGTCCCTGCGGATTGCCTTTAAGGCTTGTTACAGGAAGCTGGCCTCTTTTCTGGGTACAGCCATCTTGTGTTACGGAATCCTCCCTGCATCTGCTGTGGGCACAGACATCTTGACTACTACGGTGTGATGGTCAATTATCATATTCCCTCTATATTAAATAAGATATCTTCATGTAAAAAAAAACCAAAAAAAAACCAAACCCACACCCAGATAAAGCATCGCCAAACCGCTGGAAACCAAGGGAAAAGAGAATCTTAAAAGCAGTCCACGAAAAACAAAGGTACAATATTAGGCATGACCATGACTTCAAAGTAGAAACATCAGGAACCAAAGACACTAGAAAGATGTACCTAATGCCACCTAGAAGGTGCTGAAAGAAAACCATTGCCAACGTGGGATTCGGTCAAAAACGAAGGTTACGCACACGTTTTCCAGACACACACACACACACCTGAAAGAGTCTGCCACCAGCATTGTCAAGGACAAGGGCATAGTCATCAGCTGACACTACATTGAGAATGCACAGTGCAGCCTTTGGGACGAGCGCTAAAAGAGTAAGAAACTCAATTAATATTGGATTTTGGTAAGTCCAGGGTAATGCTGTCGTCTTAGTATTCTAAAAGTAGAACTAAAGAGCGAAACATTTCCAAGCAAACAGGGACAAAAATGGAATGATAGAAAACCATCAACTCAAAAGAACCCAAGAAAGGAGAGTA